GGCGACGGCGACGACGACGGCGAGCCAAAGCGAGAGCGAACGACAGCAGGGCCACGAAAGACACGAAGTATACCACGAAGGGCGGCAGCGGGGCCACGAAGGGAATGCGTATGGGGCCACGAAGTGCGCGAACGAGCAGAGGCCACGAAGGGCAGATAATACGGGGCCACAAAAAGCAAGGACGGGGCCGCTGAGGGTAGCAACTGGGCCACGTAGGACAGAGAGGGGGTAACAAAGGGCGACGGCGGGGCCACGAAGGGCATGCACATGGGGCCACGACGGGCGCGAATGAGCGGGGGCCACGAAGAGGATACTTATATTGGGCCGCGGAGGGCAAGGACGGGGCCACTGAGGGCAGCAACGGGGCCACGAAGTGCAGCGATGGGGGCCACGAAGGGCGACAGCGGGGCCACGAAGGGCATGCATATGGGGCCACGACGGGCGCGAACGAACGGGGGCCACGAAGGGCATACATATATGGGACCACGAAGGGGAGCGAGGTGGCCACGAAGGGCTGCAACGGGGCCACGAAGGGGGGCAACGAAGAGCTGCAACGGGGCCAAGAAGGGCAGATAGGGGGCCACGAAGGGCTGCAACGGGGCCAGGAAACAAAACGAGAGGGCCACGAAGGGCTGCAACGGGGCCACGAAGGGCAGCGAGGGGGCCACGAAGGGCTGCAACGGGGCCACGAAACAAAGCGAGGGGGCCACGAAGGGCTGCAACGGGGCCACGAAACAAAGCGAGATCCCGATTCCTAGGTAATCTGTGAGGGTGGCTTAAGCGTGAGCGCGACTCCTGGGTGCCTGGGTGTCGGGAGCGCGGCGCTTGAGTAAACTGCAAGAGATTCCAACGCAAGGGCGCTGGGAGAACGATTTCTGAATACATCGTAAGGAAGTCCCAAGCGAGAGCGCGATTCCTGAATAAAATGCAAGGAAGTCTCGGGCGGGAGCGGGGGTCCTGGCTAACTTGTGGGGAGGTCTCAGGCGGGAACCGCTGTTGTTGTAACCCGGGGGCCAGGGGCACAGTTTGAGCATCAAGACTTCCCCTGTCAAAAAACAAGGTGCGAGCGTCGAGGGGCACACTTTGATTGAGAAAAACAATATACATCGGTGGGGGGATCAACAATAATTATTCTCCAGAAGTGAAAATTCAACAACAACAACAACAACAACAACAACAACAACAACAACAACAACAATCATTTTACCCGAACGCTCAGTGTTCTCACCAGTGCCAGGGTTTTCATGCGACGCGAGACAATACCCCCACTTCGTGGGGGGGCAGTTCAAGCTCTACCAAATATCCAAACGACTCTTCGCGACCACCCAAACCCAGCTTCCCGCCCTATGACGTTGGGACACTTCACTTCGTGGCGTGCGGACGACCGTGGCTACTACACTGGCGTGGGGTACACACCCACAGAACTTGGTCACTTATTCGGGGCGCGCGTGTGCCCAGCATCCTGCAATTGTGACATACAATACATGACACAGACAGACAGAGAGAGAGACAGAGAGCAGACAGAGAGAGAGACAGAGAGAGCGGAGTTGGTCACATTTTTGGGGCAAGTTCCTGAGATCGTCGTGTTTTTTGTTGGTCTTGCGCGCGCGAATGTCCACTTTACTTTTTTTTGCAAGGGAGTATTGAAATTTGATTATGTTAGAACAAGAAAAAGTAGCTCGCGCGAGCTCATGTAACATAAATGTTGAAAAACCATTGGTTTTGTGGGAGTCGGACAGCGCGCGCGGGATGAAATTTGGACATTTTTTTTTGAAAAACCATTGGGTTTTTGATGTTTTTATGTTGAAATCGTTACGAAACCTAAGGTTCTGGAAGGATTTCGTCTTGCGCGCGCGAATGTCCACTTTACCTTATTTTTTGCAAGGGATTATTGAAATTTGATTATGTTAGAACAAGAAAAAGTAGCTCGCGCGAGCTCATGTAACATAAATGTTGAAAAACCATTGGTTTTGTGGGATTCGGACAGCGCGCGCGGAAGGACATTTTGACAATTTTTTCTTAAAAAACCATTGGGTTTTTGATGTTTTTATGTTAAAATCGTTACGAAACCTAAGGTTTTGGAAGGATTTCGTCTTGCGCGCACGAATGTCCACTTTACCTTATTTTTTGCAAGGGATTCTTGCAATTTGATCAAGTAAGAACAAGAATTTTCATTTTATAGTGTTTTTTGCAAGGGAAAACGAGCGTCAACAAAACAACCGGATCCGGTAACAATCCACTTTTCTGAAGCTTTCGCTAGAAAATGAAGGAAATGAGGCTGCGGCCTAGGTTTTGGAGGGGGGTCGCGCACCAGGGGTCCCAACAATAATTATTCTTAAGAAGAAATAATGTTCAACAACAACAACAACAACAACAACAACATCAACAACCACAGGCAGTACCGCAGAAACTCGTTTAAGCCACGCGCCCAGGGACAGTGAATGACCGCTGGGCACCCTCACTCTGATCTGTATATATATATATATATATATATGTAAAACATATACGCATCACAAAAAAGCGACAAACAAACTGCTCCAGGAACAACAAACGCTCCCGGCCCTCCCCCCGGGACCACGCCTTCAGGGAAGGGCCGGCCGATATGCGTACTCCGGATTCCATAATAAAGTAGGGGGGGGTACATTTGGCGGGGGGGGTCTGATTTGAGCTGTCTTGAAGGGTTTGGGGGGGTCTGGGCAAAGTGCCGCCCTTTCATGGATGGTCTGGGGGGGTCTGAAACTTGTGGTCTGGGAAGATTATGACCCCCTCCCTTTTATTACGAAATCTGGAGTACTCGTCGGGGACAAACTGTTCAGGGAAAAAAACAAGAGCTCCCGACCCTATCCCGGAGTTCACAACTCCGGGGAGAGACCTGGCCGCCGAAGCGCGGCCGCCGAAGGGGGCTCCTCCCCACACCTTTTGGGCGCCGCGGCCCCGCGTGACGAGCAAGTCGGGATGGCTCTCACATACGGCAGGCCCGTATCGCGACGGCCCTGGCCCGCGTTTCTGACACAGCGCGGAGCGTTTCCTCTTGAACGATGGGGCGGCCTCTTGGTCGCCAGAGAGTTCCACATTGGCCGATTCTGGGCCACTGGCGACGTTTAACCCTTGCAACGCCCGCGGCGGGATCGCCGCCGCGTCGACGCGGCAGTATCAGGCGGGTCTGTCTGCCGTCACGCGCTCGAGGTGCTTGGCGGCAACGTGCGAGCTAGCGCTCGGCATCCCTTCGTCGGGGGCCCCGTGGTGAAGCAGGCATCCTGCACTCAATCGACACCGAGGGGCAGCCTGAGGGCCCGCCAGTGGGCCTGCTCCTGAGTAGGGGACTTCCACCGACCAGCGAGAATGGGAAAAACAAGCAAGAAGGGATGCGTTCTGATCAGAATTCCGATGCACAGCCAGCGGTGGCAGCGAGGGCCTCCCAGGAGGCGCAAAAAGGCCGAAACGAGGCAGTGGCTGCGGTATGGGTACTACGAGGCAGGCATTCATCCAGATTCACCGCCTGGGAACCGACGTCCTGGTGCCCCACCGGGCGGTGGATACTGGACAAAGTCTGGCCCCCCCGGGGCCAAAATCTGTCCATACCCACCGCCTGTGGAGGTCCGCGAAGATCGATCCCCCATGCGCTGGTTGTGGACAACTCCCCGCCTCTTTGGACGCCCGAAATGGGTACCGAAAGAATGGGTACAATGCCCAACAGCAAATGTTGTCCCAAGCCAACAGCGGCCGCTGTTGGGCAGGCGGCCTCCTGTCTCGAATGGACACGGGCCGCGGCGGCGCGGACAGCGAGCCCTGTTCAAGATGAACAGGAACTGCTGTTGGGCGTTGCACCCGTTCTTTCCGTGCCCACTCCCCGACCAGCCACAACGGGGGGAGCTGTGGTCCTTACCCCCCTCGGGGAACCCATCGCATCGACGACCTCTCGAGACCCAGACCCCCGACGTCGTGATTTTTTCACGACGTCGACCCCCAGAGGTCTGGACCCATTCTTTCAGTACCCATTCTTTCACGTCGTGATTTTTTCACGGGCATCGTACCCATTCTTTCAGTACCCATTTCGTGCGTGCAGAGCCTCGGAGGTAGCTCTTCCTCCTCCGACTTCCACCGGCCAGCGAGAGGCCCCCCCCCGGCGGAGCGGCAGGGGCTTCTAGAGGCCTCCCAGATGGGGGCGGAGCAGACGGGGTCGGAGCATCGCGCCGCATCGCCGATACATCGGCGATGCATCGGCGATGCACCGGCGAGGCATCGTCGACGTCGGGGATGCATCGGAGACGTCGACGTGAAGCAAATCGGGCTCCGCATCGAGCCGCGTCGCCGATGCATCGGCGCTGCGGCGCGATGCTCCGACCCCACCTGCTCCGACCCCATCTGGGAGGTCTAGAAGCTTCCACCGTCCAGCGTTAGGTCGGGCATGTCCTCTTACAGGCGGGAAAGCAGCCAAACAATCTATTCAAACATCGTCAAAAAGTGCAACAACTCGTCCCCAGACTGTCGTTCGACTATTTCTGAATATTCCTCTTGGGTAGGGGAGCGAAGAATCACATAAACATGACAACTCGGACGTCTGGGCGGAGTTCTCGGATTCGCGCTAAACCCCCCTGGCGGCGCCTCCGGCGCCGCCAGGGGGTTCGCGCGGACTTTCGAGTTGTCTGCTCATGTCATTCTTCGCTCCCCGACTGAAGAGGGACGTGCCTGACTTACGAGCAGCGCGAGCCCCCCCCCCCCACCCCTGGCGGAGCGGCAGCAGGGGCTTCGGCCGCAGGTTAGGAGGAGGCAACTACTGGGAGGTCTCCGTCGAAAAGATCAAGGAAGATTACGCCCCACACTGGGGGGCTGCTGCGCCGGAGTGAGCATCTCGGATGAAGCGGGATCATCAGCCCGATTCGGCGGGATTGAACGGGATCAAGCGGGAATAAGCGGAATCAAGCTGGATTTCGGACCAGGGCAAACTCAGAACTGGACCTCCCAGGAGTTGCATCCACACGCAAAGGGGCTTCGGGCGCCTCGCCCCCGCGGCGCCGCCGGCCGGGTCGCGAAAGCCGCGGGGGCACCTGGGCGCCGGTGTTGTTCTCTCCCCCCCACATCCTAAGTGGGGTTTTTGTTTTCTCTGGGCGCCCCACGCAGTCCTCCCACACCCTCTCCTCTTCACACTCACTCCTCCTATCATCATGATCATCATCATCATCATCCTCACCATCATCATCATCATCATCATCATCATCATCATCACCATCATCATCATAATCGTCACCATCATCATCACTGACAACATCATCATGATCACAAAACGCCATAATCTTAGAAATCATTATCACTACAACTATAGTATCAATACTATCAAGCCTCATCGTCGTCCACTCACTCATTCACACTCACTCGATCACCATCATTCAGTCATAACTTACCCACCCACTGCGAGAGAGAGGGATAGAGAGAGAGAGAGAGAGACCGTGATGACGGTCTCAATTGATGACGGTCGATCTGGCCTCCCATCACTTACACAACCACACACTCACAGCACCATCGCACCCTCACTCGATAATTCTCACTCACGCATAACTAACTCACTCTCTCACTAACTCATTCACTTCTCCTGAGTGGCTCTCTCACGCACCCAATCATTACACACCATCATCACTACCTGTCTCATCCTCATCCTCATCACTCACATCATCGTAATCACAATCATAATCCCCAACCTCATTCTCATCCTATCCTTATCATCAGCAACAGCATCATCACTTGCCTTTTGTGTCGTCTCGAGCGGGAGCCTCGTCTGTTAGTGACTTGCGAGGAAGTCTCAGGCGGGAGCCCCCTCTGTATGGGACCCGCACTTTATGTTAGTAATCCGAACGGGTCATCGAAACCCCTATAACTGTCGACACTGTTGGGCTCCTGAGGCTTGAACATGGAGAAAATATCGGGCGGGAGCCTCGTCTGTGAGTGAATTGCGAGGAAGTCTCAGGCAGGAGCCCCCTCTTTATGGGGCCTGCAGCTCATGTTTGTAAACCGAACGGGTCGTCGGAAAACCTGCTCCCCCCCGTCTCCCCTTCCTCAAAAAAGAAAGAAGGGGTATTTGGACCACCCCCATTGGGCTCGAAAGCTGAACTTCTCGCCCGCTGGCCGCGACGACCACCTGGTTCCAGAGCCCTGAAACTTTGACCCACTACGCGATATGATCGGGGAGACGTAAGACTCGGGTACGGGGGACTCGAGTTGGCCTGACGGGGGCCATCATAAAAATAACGAGACCCAATTCGAAATTTGACGCGGGCTCCCGCCGCAAAAATCCCACGAAAACGGGACCGTCAAAATTCAGAACGCGCTCGTCAAAAAAAAGTCGGCAAACCCGAGTTCCGGCTCACTCGAGTCTTACGTTTCCCCGATATGAGTTTATCGAACTTCTGAACCCTCGCGATCCCTGTGCCCGCACAGGCAAAGGTGCACATTCTGACTTCGGCCCCCCCCCGACCCCACGCAACAAAATGTCCAACAAAACCTATGTGAGGTGCACGCCGTCGCTTCCGAACCCTTACGACCCCTTTTTGTACAAACAAAAAACACCATTTTGCGAACCTCAGCTCGCAACGACCCAACACTCACCGCCCCGAGCGAAACATACATTCGTCGCGCACGCGTTGATCTTCGCATTCGTCCAACCCCCGCGATCCTCCGCGAAAAAAAATGCATGCGGTGGACGTCGGATGATCTTCACAACGTGCTCCCGAGTTTACAAGATGTTCCCAGGCGCCCCCAGACTCTCTTGAAGGGGCCCTGGGACACACAAATAAATACACACAAATAAAAGGATTCCCCATATTTTCCCATATTTTATGAGTTTCTGTCTTCCCCCCACTTCCCATATTTTCCTATATTTTCTGGGGGATCGACAATTAATTGTGTCTGTGTGTTTCTTTCCCTCCTGATCTCTGGGCACTCCCCAACTCCGCCGTCGCCACCAGCCGCGAAAACCTCGACATCCGCATCTTCACCGTCGCCACCGCCGCAGGAGGCGGCAAAGAGCAGATGAATCAGTTCGCGCCGACACGTTCTCATTGTTCAACAGATGGACAGCATGGGAAGGGGATTGAAGCAGGACCCGAACGCGCCGAAAGGTCGTCTCGAAGTGGCCCAGCTGCGCTCCGAATGTGAAGAAGATGCTATGCGTCGTCGACGCGATAAATCGCTATGATGGGTGGGGTTCAGGACGGGGAGGACCGATCTGGATCAAATAGTGTGTTGAGGCAACCACCCGATCCTCAACACCCGACTGCTATAACCCTATAGACATGTAACCATTTCGCCGCCCTCCGGCTGGTTCCCGACAGGGTCAACACCGACCACGGGCCGCGATCCCGCGTCAAGAGTGGGACGCGGTGACCCCACACTGAAAACACGATGGCGTGCACATGTTCTGATATTCGCGCCGACCTAACACCTGCGATCCCCTGTGACAAATACAATTTGGTGGACATCGACTGATCTTCACAGCGGTGCAACACTCACAATACCTAGCCCAAAAAAAGCCAACGCACATCTGCGGATCTTCGCAACATTCCAACCCACACGATCCCTTGCAAATCAAGCCATGTGATGGAAACTGACTGACCTTCCCAGCGACACAACACTCATCATCCTATGCACAGAATTGCAATTCGGCGCGCACGCGCTGGTCCTCACACCCATCAAACCCGCACGAATACAATAACAAATATCATGTGATGGACGTCGCCTGGTCTTCAAAGCGCGCTCCCAAGTCACCCAAACGTTCGCAGGTGCTCCCAGACGCTCCAGTCGCTCTCAAGACGTTCCCACGCCCGCCGTCGCCACCAGCAGCAGCAGCAACATCCACATCCGCATATTTACCGCTTGATTGTTGAGCATGTCGACGCTATGGGAAGGGATGGACGCAAGACCCAGGCACGCCACAAAATCACTCAAAACGGCCCAGAGGATGCTAGACCGCATTGGCGCGATAAGAGGATATGTCGACCTGATGGGAAGGGATTGCGGCGGGGGGGATGACCCAGGAAAGCTGTAAGTGGCTCCAACACCTCCATACCCCAACAATATAATCGTAACTGGTACTATACAAGAACTTCTTGATCCCGACACGGCCGGTTCACGGCCGATTCCAAAAGGGCCGCGGGCCCCAACCCTTTCTGCAATCCCCTGCACAAGTATTGGACGCGGTGCACATCGGCCGATCGCCATATCGTTTGTCTTCGCACAAATCTGTACTCACAGCGATAGGGCGTGCATATTTTCGGATGTTCACACTTACCCAACGTATGCGGTCCCCTGGACAATAACTATCATTTGGGGGACATCTGCTGCTGCCAATGCCATTCAACTCCCATTCAGTGCACATCTGCTGATGCCAAAGCTCACGGCCCCTTGCAACACATACCCTTCGGCGCGTGTCTGTTGAGCCGCAGCACTACCAAATCCCACGATCCCTTGAAACAAAACATGACTTGGTGGTGGTCCCCAATACGGCTCCCAAGGCACCCCAACGAGGGCCCGACTACAACCTCCGCGAGGGCGCCGTGCGAGGGTGGCACGGGCGGCGGCAGCTGCGGTGGTAGAGCGGTCGTCGGGAGTGCTGGCCAGCGCAGGCCCCGGCACTGCAAGGTGGTCCCAGCGCCGGGGCAAGTGACCCCGAGACCCGGGGTACGGCGGCGTGCCTTTGCCGGCGAGGCTGCCAAATCTTACCCCTCCGCCGACCTCCGCCGATGGCGATCTGCCATCCGGGCGGCTTCAGGAGACGGGCCCCCCGGAGGACACCCGTTGGGTCTTCGGCAGCACGGTGCAGACTCCGTCGGGGCACGGTGCCCACACGACGGAACGCGGTGTGCTTAAGAGTGCTCGGGGGGGAAGTGGGCACTGTTGCGTGGCAAGCGAATGGGCGCAAGTCCGATCACTTGCCGGGGGGGCGTCTTCGGACTGGTCTGCCAAGGCCAGCGGCGTCGACACCGAAGGCTGAACGGCCAAAGCCTCCCGGGCGGAGAATTCACCCGCGGAGCTTCGTTACAACTGTTCGAGCCTTTTTGAAGGGGCCCTGGGACACACAAATAAATACACACAAATAGAAAGATTCCCCATATTTTTCAATATTTTCTGGGTTTTTGCCTGCCCCACCACTTCCCATATTTTCCCGTATTTTCTGGGGAGTCGACGATTAATTGTGTCTGTGTGTTTTTTCCCCTCCTGACTTTTGTCCTCCAACGTTGACGAGGCCGGCGCCGCCCGCGCGGATCGGAGCTCTGTTGCAGGTGGCGCTCTCCTGCCTGCCTCTGTGGGGCGCCCCCTCTCGTCTCCACGCTGGCCCCCGTTCTCTCCTCGCGAGGTGGCTGCCAAGCGTCGCGCTTTGAACGCGAGCTTCACCAGTACCTTGGTTCTCGAGGAAGAAGAGGAGGAGGAGGAGGAGGAGGAGGAGGAGGAGGAGGAGGAGGAGGGGGAGGGGGAGGAGGAGGAGGAGGAGGAGGAGGAGGAGGAGGAGGAGGAGGAGGAGGAGGATGACAAACGTCACGAGGGAGAGGGAGGGAGGAGGGCGGAACTCTCTCTGCTCCTGTCCCCACGGGACGCCCCCAGTCGCGTTCCAGGTCCCCGCGTTCTCTGCGTGGAGCCGACATTCGTGCCCTCAAAGCTGGCGAAACTGATAGGGGGCAAGATCAGCAAGACGTGTAGGTTGTTATGTCTAGAAGCTATGCCGATGCACTGTTCCGTCGTTCAGTCAAGGGACGCAAGGCCCTTCCCGCGTTAGATGAGTTACCAAAAAAGAACCCCTAACCCTTTGGGAGGGGACCAAAGTTAGGAGGGCCAGCAACATTAGAGATGGGGGGTCTGTGCTGCAATGTAACGAACCAAATCGTCTATGTCTTTATCCCTATAGTGCAAAGATGGGGACATCCGTGAGGCCACGTCTGCGTCGTGCTATCAGGGTTAGGGGTTCTTTTGTTCTCGATGATCAGAAGACGGTGGTTCATATGATAACATGGGAGGCATCCTCTGCCAGAGCGTAGTGCTTCCCAGGCCACAGCCTTACAGCCTCAGCGGAATGAGGGAGAGTTTCAACTCTGTGCAGCCCCCTATTTGCAAAACGTGGGTGGTTCCACTGTCACCGATGCGCCCCCCCAGAGGCCACCTGCGAGCCATGTGTGCGGCATCATCCCGCATGATTGTCGCTGGCGCAGTGCCGAGATGCAATGCTGGTAAAGGGTTCAGGGGCCGTGCTTGCTGCATCACTGACTCTCCGCCAGATGCGAATGATGCCCTGCTCCAATGGTTTGCCCGCAGAACCAAAGAGTGCCAGGCCATTATTCCAGAGCCCGCCAGCTTAGCTCACTGTCCATGATCTGCCGGGGCAATTTATGCATTTTCTAGGTCTGTCCAGGTTCTCTGCTCTGAACACTCTAGACATCCGACCAGCGCTAGTCGTTCTGACCCTGTTGCTTTGATGGTTGCGGCCCTCAGTCAGTATTTGCCGGCAGCGCCATCATGAGTACTTGGCAATGCACCTGCCTACTACAGGCTACCCGGCACTTGCT